CTTTGCATAAGTCTTGCGTGATGAGACCCTGCATGTGCCTTTCTTAAACAGGCCGTAAGGCGAGCGATTGGCAAAGAATCTCGGCGGGTGACATATTCAGAAAACCTACCTGTGAGAAACTGAACCTGCTTTGTGATTTGATTGTCGTCGCCTTTTCTTCTTCAGCCTCAAGTGGCAATGGACGAAGGAGGGGCGTGTGCGGCCGACACTCGAAGCCAGCCCAGCCCGCAGGCCACTATCAACTTGCCGCATGATATGTTGTTTGATTCCATGCCGTCAATCGTGCGGGCTTGGCTTTCTGGTCCCGAGACGAGGCAAGCACCGCAGTGGGTTGGCGCGCCGCCGCCGCAAGCAGACTGTTTGCGAACCTAGTGCTGGGGGCACACACAAAGGTGGATGCGAACCCGATGGGCAAGACAATAATCGCGGGGCACCAATTTGTGGACAAGCTCTGGCGAGTGCGAGTGTACGTGTCGGTGGCTGCATCGCAGCATCTCGAACCCCGACTCCTGGGCATCCAAAGGGGGCGATACGCGTGGGTTCCTTGCAGAGAGCCAAGGCGGCGCGTTGTGGCCGTTGGGGGCGCAAAGATTGCAAGCACTCGATAGTAGACTTGGCTGGCTGCGAGTCGGCGGGTTACCTTGCGCTCCTTGCCCTTGACCTTGATCGAGGGTTTTACGCAGTAGGCTGGCTGCCAATGACGAACTGGTAGGTAAATATCAATTCATCAGTCGGGCGTGGGTGAAGTTGTTGCTAGAATGAACCTTTGTTTGTAGTGCCAACGGGAGACGCAGAAGGAGCAAAGGAAGAGGAGGGGCAATCAGCTGGTGGATATCGGGCAACGCAACCTGGTGCTACGGCGCCCAAGATTTTCTGGCAGCGTATGTGTATATTTACGTGATCTGCGGCAGCAAGGACTCAAAGGATGTACGGCAGGGCTCTCGGAGCTTTTTATCCATTCCGAAACTATATTCTGCGTATCGAGGCGTCTTCGTGGTGTCTCCGCCCGAAGCACGCATATGCTGGCCGTGTGCTGGCCCCATTTGCAGGGAGTCTTTCTTCATGGCCGCTGAGCACTGCAGCGAGCTATCTGTTCTGGCAATTCGGGGCTTTCGTATACCTCTAACAAGATTTGGTGAATTCGTCCGAATTTTCAACCACGTTGTTCAACATGTACTGCATATGGCACGACCGTCTTGCAACCCGGTGGGGTAGTATTACTATCCAGGACCCGAATCTTGCCCGTCCTCATCGGCCAACTCGTTCGAGAGGCGAGCCCATTTTCTGCTTGATTGCCTCGTCAAGGACTAGCCGTACACATTATCGCTACTTTGCGCCTCGCCCGTTAGTTCCCTTTCGTTCATTCGAGGCGCTCTACTGGCTTCTGCATGCACCACCCGTGCTTGCCGTGGTGGAAACGTGGCGTTGAACTCTTTCACTCTGGACCTTCGGTGACTGTTTAGTTTAGGGAACCCGCTCCATCATTTGGTGGCGTTGTGATGACTTGTTCGCACGGCAGTCGGAATCACGCTCAACGACAAGGCCGCCACCGTCGGTTGGCAGTCAAGCCCTTTGGACACCCCAGCGAGCCGTGATCCGAGTGGCGTGCTTGTCTTGTTCCGGCACTATGCAATCTGCCCTATCATTTGTTCCGAAGAGAATAAGCCATATCACGAAGATGGTTGTTCCCTCGGCAAGATGAATCACCTTACATCAAGCCAATGACGTACTGGGCTAAGCCGTTCGCCGCTTTTTTATTGGCATTGGAAGCCCAGCAAGCAACAGCAGCCATTCATTGCTCTCTTGCAAAAAAAAAAAAAAAAAAAAAAAAACCCAAGATTCAGAAATGATCAACGAGTTGGACCAATATTGCTGTTCCAGAGAGCGACATATAAACCTTTCGAGCGTTGTCGCGGGCTTTTATCCCGCCCACGCACCTATACCTGCCTGATCCATGCACCCGGCGCGCATAGCAACAAAACAACCTTGTTCAAGCTGCATCTATTGCTCAGATCGCCCTTCCAAAAAAGGAGCCTCGTCATCGTAGGTCGATGATGCATTGTCCGAGCCCTCTCCACAACCTCAACTCTACTGTCACTGTACGCACCCCCATCTCCCGTCCCTTTCTCCACCTCCGCGGAACAATCACTTTAGCTACTTGGCAGATATTTTATCAAGTTGATGCACGATGCGTTTGTTGCTGCTCAGCTCCGGTTTGAGTCCAACTAGGATCAATGCCCGCCGCATCTCGGAGGCACGGGCGAGAGGCGAGCCGAGACGACAAGACGAGACAATTAGAGATAGCCTCTGCATATCGGCTCTTGGCTTTGGCCGCCGTTTTATCTTTTTTTTTTATTATCATACAGCATCGCATCTGATTTAATCCTAACTGCGATTGCGACGGACGGCGGCGGCGGCGGCCGGCAAAAGGACTAGCACGCCACGCCGGAATATTGACTTGATGCCGAGCGCTTGGAAGCTTATTACCGAAATGATTTCACTGCGACAAGTTTGCCGATCCAACCAGTTCATGGACAGTACGAGTGACATTTCAAGAGAGAGAGAGAGAGAGAGAAAGAGAAGATGCGCGGACGGCTAGAATCATAATCAACTGAACAGCGTTTGCTCTAGGTGCTCATGAGCAACATGACGATGGGTGAGACGAATCTCGGACAAAGAAAGACTGGCATGTTTGTGCATGAACCCCAACACAACCTCCACCCGGAAAATAGAGTTGCTGCGTCAGACCTAAACGACGCAAGGCATGTGAAGCATAAACCAATGTGCAGATAACGATATCAATAAACAAACCCTGATTCACCCGCTTCCCCTCTTTTTCCTTCTAGCGTCATTCGCACTTTGCAAAACCCAGTTAATAACCCAGTTGCTAGAGACTATGTGTCGCCTTCATCAGTAATTCCGCATCATCAGCTCCCCGGTTTTCTCACCGTTATGAACCCGAACCACGTTGTGATAGTCGCACCAAGCTTTGCAGCCTAGCTGAGAAATCTGTGTGTGTGTGTGTGTGTGTGTGTGTCCGTGTCACTCGCCTCGTTTATATCCTCGGTACGGAACAGATTAGTAGATTGATTGGTTGGGGGAGAGTAAAAAAGGAAAATAAACGTCAACAAAGTCTTTTTTTTGATGCACACAAAAGCGGCCAATGCAACGCTGTTGGGAGTAATAAGGGTCTCGGGACTCTTTTTTTTTTCCTTTGGTGTGTGGTGTGGCCGCTCAGGCGAGGCGAGACTGGACGCCGCACGTCCTTGTGCATTTTTTGCGCTTCTAGAGTTCCATTCTCCCCCAAACAGCTTCCGTTTTCGAGTCTTGTCTATTTTCTGTAAATAGTTCGCCCTTGCGAGTTGGTCGGTCATGCCTACACACTACTTGTGGTTTGAACCCTTTCTAGGTTCACAATCAGGCTTTCTCATTGATTGAGCCAGGCTGCAGCTGAGCAACCTCTCTGTACCTCTCTTAACTTGTACCACGCTCTGGCTCGTAAAGAAAAAAGACGCCGAACAAACTCTCGATGCTCATTTCCCGTAATTTTTTTTTCTCTCTTCACTCAATGATTCGTCACACGACACGGACACGGAACACGCCTCATTCCGGACTCCCGTCATCACCCTCGTCTACGTCTCGTGCCCACTCGCCCGCGCGCAACCCTCATTCATCTCGGCATCGGTCCAACAAGGACGAGCTCCTGCCTCTTTTTTGTTTCCCTCTTGGCTTGGCCCTAGGTAGTTACGCCTCCTCCTCCCTCCTGATTAGGTGCCAAGCGCCGCGATGGTGGCACAGAAGAGTCAATCAAAATCTTTTTTGCCAGTAGCACTAGCCCCCCCCCCGGTGGGCACCACACCCCCTTTCAAGAAACAATCATTGCAATATTCACAAAAGTACAAGAGAGGGAAAGTAAAACCAAAAAAGTACATGTGGCTCATGAATCATAGAACAAGACATTGATAGCCTAGTTTCCTTTCACCCCCCGAAAAAGTCGGACGAAAGCCAAAACCGGCCGTTTGTACCAGCAAGGCGCAACCGCTCAAGGCGCGCCAAGTTGAATAGCCACATTTGTTGCGTGAATGATTACCTATTATTAGTTGGTGGTCGGGTGGGTTGTCCCTTCTGTATGCAGCCCACATGGGCTCGGCTTGAACCTCGCAACAGGGCTATTTACAGAGCAACAACAAGCAGCAAATAGCGTCGGAGGCGGCGGCGCACGACTTCAGCCCAGGCGCTGATCTCTCGCTCTCGTCGTCACTGGCCGAACCCTTGCCTTGTCTCTGAACCGACCCCCCCCCCCCCCCCCCTCCCCTTGTCTCTAGCTCCGCCGATCAGGCATTTTCGGCACCACCATCTCGGACTATGCCCTTCTCGGAAAAGGACACCACCCCTGCCTGGCTAGCATCATTATTTACCTCCAGGTGTCAAAGGTGAACGAACGAATGATGAATGAGTTTCATATTTTGCCATTGCCAAAAGTACCCAGTCTATCTACCGTGCAAAGGAAAACAAAAGGCTCCAAAGCATCTGAAAAGAAAAAAGAGGATAGATCCGAGAAAAAATCTAAAACACGCAAGAGATATACCTTTGCACATGAAGCCAATATATATAATCCAAAGAATATATCCTCATCGCAAAAAAAAAAAAAAAAATCAACGAAACTCGCCATGCCAGATATTCATATGAAAATGTCGAAAAAAAAAAATAGATATCAGGACCGCCAAGCCACTCCCAGTGACTTGCTTCTACCAAATAAACGCCAAGTGTATCCCATGTCTTTTAAAACCCAGAACCGTTTTTGCTTTGTGCGGGGTTCCATAAAGGCTGTTTTGCTATCCGCCTCAATAATGTCGAGAGTTGAGAAGTGAGTGATTGGGTGTGAAACGGAGTTGAGAATACGGCGGAAGCAGTAATATGGACAGGTGCCCTCACTGGTTCCCCTCTAGCAAGTAAAAAGTGTACAGCCTCGTCGAAAATGACGGGAGCCTTGCCTTCTTTTACTGGGAGAGAGGACCCATCATGCCGGGCGAACCGGGCATGGAAAGCGGCGTGGTTGGGTACTCGAAGCCAGTCTCGGAACACGTCGCAGACTCAAACGAATGCGACAGAGGGGGAGTCTGATCTCCGAATCAGTATATTGAGTTGATTTTGCTTGAGCAGCGAGCCGTTGCCTTCTTCAGAGAAAGACGGGCTGCTGTCGCGGCAGACTCACGTTGGGAGCGTTGGGAGAAGCACCGTAGTGGCTCATGTCGAGCGCCGAGGGGCCAAACGAGTAGTTGAAGTAACTTCCAAGGCCGTCGTCGCCGGAAAAGCTCTCGCGCTTCCAGGGGTCGGTGAAGTGGGTGGCAGAGGTAATGACCCCGGGCAGCGACGAGGTCATGTAGCTGGCCGAGTAGGGTTCGCCGGCGCTGATGGTTGGGTATGGCTGCGTGGCTCCGTAAGGCTGGAGAAGCAGATCATCGGGGGCCGGATAGGGAGTGTATGGGGAAAACAAGGGCGGCGAGGGGCCACGCTCGCGGTCGTCAAAGGAGCCGGCAAAGCAAAAGTCGTCGGAGCCGTCGAGCGAGGGCGAGTACGGGTGAACGGGCTTGGCGGGAATGGAGATGGCAGCGGTCGTGGTGGCCTTGGCGGCCTTGGGTGACTTGCTGGCCGAGCTGCGCTTGGTGACTTTGTTGGAGGTGCTCGAGGTGCTCGAAGGGCTGGTGACGGAGTTCTTGTCAGTCTCGCCATCGTCGGAGGAGCCAGCGCGGCGCTCGAGGTCTTCCAGGCGGCGCTTGAGCTTCTTGCCTGTGAGGGATGTTAGTGGTGCTGGTGGTGAAAATTGTGGTGTTGCGCATCATCAGAGGCCGGGGCAAGTCGAATTGCTAGAATGCTGCTGAGGGCGACTTGATGCGGTGGCACGTACGGTAGTTGCGCTGAGCAATGCGGTTCTGGATTCTGCGGCGCTCGGCCAAGTCGGAGATCTTGGTCCAGTCCTCGTCGGGCAGAGCAGAGGAGCTAAAGGCGCTACTTGTGCCGTGGGTAGAGTATTGTCTAGGAGCGGCCTGCTGGGGTACAGCGTACATGTACGCTGATTGTTGAGGCATGGCGGCGTAGACAGACATGTTGTGTATGTGAGTTGGGTTTGTGTGAGGGAGAGAGAGAGTTGGAGGAGAGCTGTGGCACCTTTGGCGCGAGTGTGTGGCCAAGAGTAGAAGCTATAGGCAGTGAGAAGAGATGAGAGGAAAGGCTGTTGTCTTTATAAGTTTCTTCTTGGCAAAGGAGAAGAAAGATCGCGAAGTCGCTATAGTATGGAGATTGATAGAGATGGTAGGGCGAGATCCTTCAAGCCATGTGGGAGAGGCAGTACATTTAAATATCTCGTGGTCGAGAGAAGCATGGTGGTGCCCCCAGGCTGGGACGGACATCAAGTGCCTCCACACACATGGCAAGTCGGTGCCAGGGTCACTTTCCCCCCCGGTAAGACATACTAGAGAAGAGGTTTAGAGATACACCTGGTCCGGCGGAACAAGAGACAAGGCTGCTTTGGAACTGGGGTGGAGGGGGAGAGAGGTGTGGTGGGAGGAGGGGGGGTGGTTCGAAGAAGAGGGATGGTGTGTGTCGAGAAAGAGAGGTGAGGTGGGCCAGAATGACCATTGCCTGCCGTACGAATAGACGCTACAGAGACGGGTGATCGACCTAGCTCAGGTCAAAGAGGAGTGGGCGTGGGCGTGGGCGTGAATGAGGTTGGTGTAGATTGGTGAACGAGGTGTGGGTGATGGCGAGATGAAGGGAAAGAATGCAGTTGGTGGATTTCTGATTCTCTGCAAAGCCAAGTGCCCAATAAAAAGCGGAACCGAGCAAAGGTACCTGGGGCTAGAAAATGCCAGGGGGGTCGGGACGAGGATGATTTGTATGGGAGTCTGGTGCTGAATTGCTCCGTGAGGGGAGTTCAAGTTGGCGGCCGGCAGAGGTACCTGCCACCAAGGCTATCGGGGGGCGTTTGCTACGAGTTCGTATCACCACCCCTCGTCAACCTGGACGAGTCCGCCTAAAACCACACCCATTTCCCGCTCTCTCCGTCGCTGGGCTAGACGCGGGGCCCGCTGCAGTCAAGGAAGTACCTTACAGCACCAGCAGAATGCCCTCTTCTACCAGTATTCTTCTACAGGGCCGTATGGGGCCAACAGTTCTCTCTGCTAGACAATTCCAGTTGCTTGCTGGCGTATCCTCGATTGCACTGCTTGATTACTCTGTATCTGTCTGTGCTGTACTTGCTGACGTTGTTTACTCTACTGGTACGTTTACGACAAGGGAAAGGCGCCGCTGAACCAGCCCACTTGGCGGTTACCGTTCTCTTCAAACAGCACAGCAGCAGAGCAGCAGCGAGGATTTAACCCAAATTCTCCCGCCCGGCACTCGCTACAGGCGCTACAAACAACGCTATAACCACTGTGCGGTGCTGGGCTTCCACTGCACATTCTTCTGCCTTGTCTCGCGTTATACCGTCTCGTTTTCCTCAACCACCAAGACATGGTCCGCTCATCCAAGGGGTTTCATTGGCGGATTTATTCTTTTTGCGGCATTGCCATTCATTGTCTCGCCGGTATCGTTGTCTCATGGTCAAACAAAAAGGTTGATCGAATATTGGATATTAATGAAAGAGAAAAAGAAGGCAACGTCTAGTTTGGAAACCCCCTCCGGCGCAAGTGCAAGCCTGCTTGCCCTACTATCCCGTTCTCCGTCCACGTCCAGTCCATCCATCGGCCTCTTGCCGTGTACAGCATGTCCGAACAAAATCAAGTCTCGGCCCGCCTTTGCGAGGCCACAACGTTTCCAATCCAAAATCGTGGCGCATCTCCCACCTTTTTCCATCATTGTGATTTCATAATCGATTTGCCTCCCCCGCTCCCTCTAATCTTCATACTGTATACTATAAACGGCCCAAGTGGCGTCGTCCAAAACATAGCTTGGTTGCCTGGGCTGGTCCACGGCTCCTCCGCCTCTGCCTCCGCCGCCGCCGCCGCCGCCGCCTCCCCGGGTCTTGCATCCCGAACCAGCTAATAGTTTCATCGTGGCTTGCAAAAACCCAGTCAATCAACAAACGGCCGGCTCCCCTTTTACGATGGGACTGATTTTCATCCCTTTTTTCTACCAGTTTTTATTTTGGGCCTTGATACTTTTGTCTGTTAACGGTTCCAGGCCATCATCCCACAATATACGGGGGAGAAAGACCCGCAAACTCCGGCACTCGCTGGCCGCAAATCTCTGCCCAGATGATCAAACCCGTGTGATGAAAAAAAAAATTAAATTTTTTTTGCCGGGTGTTTCTTTTTGAAAAGAGACATTCTTTGATTCGACGGCATCGGTTCTTGTCCGTGATGGTTTTCTGCAGACATACGGGGAGTTAAAGCGCCAAACCCCGTGCATCAATGGAATTAAGGCTGGGACCGCCGAAGCGACTATTCTGTAAAAGGACGAAACTTGCGCGAGAGCAGATTCAAGGTTACTTGTCTCAGTAGTATGAAGTACTGAATAACTCCTGGTAATTTTTCGGATTTCTTGCTCCAACGAACCTGGGCGAATCTTCAGCCAGGATGGTGCTTCGCCGCAGAAGCTGGCTGGCAGGGCTGTCACAAATTGGGTGCCCGCCGCAATGGCAGCATGGACCTTTTTTTTTTTTTTTTCTTTTGATTCTTTGCTTTTTCAATTACCAGGACCTTGTCAATATATCAAATAATAAAACCAATCTCGTTGGCATTCAATTCTTTTCGACGTTGAAATCTAGTTGGCTTGACGGAATACGTCCGAGTTGTATGGAAAAGAGGAAAATAGCTGGGTACAAGGCCGAATTGGTCCCGTCGCGGTGCCGTATTAGTTTGCACATTATTCGTTGCTTGGAAATGCAAGCCCTCCAAGTCCGCCAAGTGTAAATCACAAGTTGTGGGCTCTACATTCAACTAGAAAAGCACGCGCGTTTCCCCCCCCCTTTCTTTGCAGTAGTCGCACCTGTATTCTTGTGTCAATTGTTGATTGCAAAGCATCAGCGCTTGACTAAAGGTATAGATTGGGTCCTGAAGAAGGGTGTAGCAACTATAAACGAGGCTGAAGAAGAGTAGATTGTTCTGCTGCATGCGCCGCGTGCGTTTCAAGGGTTTCACCGCATGAGAGGTGTGTGGTGGTGGTGGTGGTGGTGGTGGTGGTGGTGTCTCTCCCTGCCAGTACCTACAAGGCGCACATGGGCTTCTCTGTGGTGGCTCCAGTGAACAAGCTCAAATTTACGCCTGGCAGCTCGGACACACCGCAGGCGCGCGCGCGCCCCTTGCGTGAGCGATAATGCCAATCAAGTATCACAGACAATGTATTTAACAAGAAAAGAGGTAAAAGAAGAAACACCGAATAGGAAAGGGGGAGGGGGAGGAGGGAGGCAGAAGAAGCCGCCATGCAGCGCTGCGTCTTCAGCTTGATGCACCACCACCCCCCATCTTCCTGTTGTTCACAATGTGCCTTGGCTCACAGGGCTGTGTGTGCGTCACCAAAAATCAGCCCGCCCAACCCATCGAAACGTCAACCGGCTTGCATTTGACAGCAGCACACCACCCGCTTACTTTTTAGAAGGGGGGGAGAGAGAGGGGAGGTCAACGTCAATGGCGGTGCTTTGTCAGTAACGCTTCTATTTTGGTCGTTGCCTTACCAAGCGATAGCCGGGGCTTTCTCTCTCTGTCTGCTCCGCCTTCATCACCAGTCTATTTCGAAATGCTTTGCCCTAATACCAAAAGAAAAAAGCCAAGCAACAACTCCACAGCCCACAGACCAGCATGGTGGCTTTTTTTGGGGGGCCTTGAGATAGATTTTCCTGCCGGGCTCGTGGGTTATTATTTGTGAACCCATGACCGCCGGGGCGTACTGATACTGGCAAATTCCAGTATTCCCTCCACACGCACAGGCGCTTGGCCAAGGCGTTATTCGCCCATGACCCCCTCCCGACCCCTCAGTCAATATCGAATATGCAGATGTGGAAACATGACCCAAAGGGCTGAGAGAAAAGCCAATAACAACAATAATAATAATAGAAAAATCTACTGGTAAAATTTGTCACGTTGGACGATTCTCCCTGTTCCCCAAGGACCCTTGCCCTCTGCCCCTTGCCCCTGGTCCTAGCTTTCTGGAGCCTCGTCCATACCGGCCAAGCCTATCAAGCGGAAGAAGGAGGGAAAAAACAGATTCGTCTACCGCAAGCGGACATGGTTGAGCGCATCTCTCTTGCATATCGGAGCTTCAGCGCGGCTACGGCCAGCTACTGAGTATAGCGCGCTCGCTTGCCGTTGTACTCTCCGCATCTCGGACCCCAACATTTGTCCCCCCCCCCCCCTGCTCGGTCAACGACACGCACCATCGCCCTTGGATGCTAAACATGCTATCTTTACCCCACGATACCACGCCAGGTTTTGGTGTTGCGTCACCAAGATCAATCATTCCACTCAACAAGCTAAAATCTTGTCCTTGATACTGTGCGATGATCGTCTGGCTCAATATAAGACGCATTGACTATAACTAGGATGTTTTGCTGGCCGAAGGCCGCAACGGTCCCCCTCCCCCGGCAGCGTCGAGCCGAGTTTTTGCGTCACCGATTAGCGGCCCCGCGGGATCATGTCTGGCCACTCGTATACGGTAGACGGTGAAGTGGTATCATGGTTGATAATGGTGTGTTGTATGTTTTCCCATCGCACCAGTTGCACCAGTGCCTGCCAGCCTCGTCGCGAAAGCTCCCCCTCAGTTGAGCGGCGGGGCCAGCCTACAACACGGCAAATCTCTGACATTACTGTATTCTTTAAAAATAAACTCGTTTATTCATGCTCGTACATGCAGCATGTCCATGATCCCACGTTTTCGGTATTTCGGATGCCGGCATCAAGCAGGTTTCTTTGCCATTAAAGTTTTTCGGTGCAGTTGGTCTTTACGCTGTCATTTCTTAGCATATTACTCAGCTGGCGCGCGCACTCGCACGACCTGTCATGCAAGGTGTGTGTGTGTGTGTGGTTCCATGCTATCGGGAGTCTTTTATTAAGAGCCTCGAACTATGGATAGAAGGACGACAATTATGGAAGTTTGTCGATGCATGCAT